AAGGGATAAACATAAACATCATGTAAAATGCCATGTCTGATTATTGGTTTTCAAATTCTGGATTACACAAGACTGCAATTATTCAATATAATAACTTCAGTAATGTAACTAAATATGCCATACAAACATTAGTTATGTGACAAAATTAGCTGAACATCTGTATGTTTTTTTTTAGTTTGTGTGTGGGTTCAGTACTGTTTCTTACACTAACAACCCAAACTTCTCAGTTGCTATAAGGCTTGTATGTGGGCAAATTTTCAAAAGCAAAGCATCAGTGTAGAGCCAAAAATGTGTGTATATTGTTAAGTGAGAAGCAATGATTTTGTGTTTAACTGCTATTTTTGTAAAGCGTTTGATGTAGTATTTTTGCTAACCGGCGTGACAGTGTCCTTCTGTGATTACAGTGATTGCGGTCTGCTGTTCACAGGCCGTTTGTCTTAGGAAACATTCACTATGGTATGTGTTACCATCGGACGCACATACTGGAGCAAAGCTCTGTGGACACTGAAAGAAACAAACAATGAATCCTGAAAGCTGCATGAGACAGTAACTATGTCACTGTTGTAATCAAGATAATAATTGAGAGCTTAAGCATTGCAGCAGAACAAACAAACCTGATACAGACAAAGACACTCCAGGTGTGATCTGTTGTACCTGCATATTCCTCCAAAAGAACAATTATATTCATCACACACATGAAGGTCACTTTTCTTCTCAGACAGACCTAAAACAAAACACACAGCTGTCAAAGTCATCATGTGCATGTGTGTATGTGTTTGTCCACACAGAGACAGTACAACCTGAAAACCTACATTACAGATACTTATCAGATCAGGACAATAAGGGGAAAGCTTTATCAAAGGATTAATCTCTTTTGATAAGTGTAAACATGCAAAAAGTGTATGAGGGTCAGTCTATGACCATGACGTCTGAATGTCACCACAAAGAAAAGTCTATATATTTTAAACCAGCCTACAATATTGATGGTCTTAGTTAGTGTCTCAAACTGATCAGGCTGGTTTGTTTGGCTGATTGTAGAGGGGCTTTGGGAACCAATTTAATCATAAACAGTTTTTTTTTTTTTTTTTTCCAGCAGAGGATTTTTGTAAATTGTAAAATTGAAAAACCTCCAACCTGAATGTTAATCTTCCGAAGGTATGGACAGCACCCAACAAATATTTGTTTCATAATAAAATAATTAATCATTATTACCCTTGTAATAAATAAGTTAAACATTTTACTGAAAAAAAATGCACCAATCATTTCTGGCTTAAAATTTAGCTTTTTCTTTCTTTTTTTTAAGGATATTAAGGTTATTTTTCACTGTGATTTTTCTGGCATTAAGGAGATCAATTATGTATCAAACTTCATTTGCATGATGGGTAAATAAATGTAAACTGATTTTTGTTCACTATTATCATCACTTCAAAAAATGTTCACTAATAAAAAAGCTTTAAAAACGTCAAAAATAAGAACAATTTTTAACAAAAATTGTAACATACATTTTATGTATTTATTATTTATTTTCCTCTGTATTTTTTTAAATTCGATTGGATTTGATTTGAAACTTTATTTCGAACATGTAAAATAAATATAGTAAAAACAAAACAAAAAAAATACAACACAATACAAAACAATTAGTATTGTACACAATGCAATACTTTTGCAGTTCTAAAAATACAAAAGGTTTTCTTTTTGGGTTAGACTGTAGGCCTATGTCTTCATAAATAGGCCTAGCTAAATAAACACGTGTGTAAACAGGAGTGTATTTGTGTGTGAGATTTGTTGCTGCGTGTGTGTGTGTGTGTGTGTGTTCAGGGATCATGGTTAGCCACACATGTATAAACTTTATCTGCATCTGGATGGATACAGACGAGCTACCCTTGTTGTGACCGATTAAACTACTAGCATAGGTCATCCTGACCAGATAGATCAGATTTTTCAGAGCAATTTACTTGATTTAACTTTCTGTCAACAACAAACGAATCACTCAGTAACACATATGTGACCCTGGAGCACAAAACCAGTCTTAAGTCGCTGGGGTATATTTGTAGCAATAGCCAAAAATATGGGTATGGGTCAAAAATTATTGATGTTTCTTTTATGCCAAAAATCGTTAGGATTAGATTTTTCTTTTATGCCAAAAATCATTAGGATATTAAGTAAAGATCATGTTCCATGAAGATATGTTGTAAATGTCCTACTGTAAATATATAAAAAATTAATTTTTGATTAGTAATATGCATTGCTAAGAACTTTATTTGTACAACTTTAAAGGCGATTTTCTCAATATTTAGATATTTTTTGCACCCTCAGATTCCAGATTTTCAAATAGGTCTAGTTGTATCTCGCCAAATACTGTCCTATCCTAACAAACCATACATCAAGTGTAGAGCCAAAAATGTGTGTATATTGTTAAGTGAGAAGCAATGATTTTGTGTTTAACTGCTATTTTTGTAAAGCGTTTGATGTAGTATTTTTGCTAACCGGCGTGACAGTGTCCTTCTGTGATTACAGTGATTGCGGTCTGCTGTTCACAGGCCGTTTGTCTTAGGAAACATTCACTATGGTATGTGTTACCATCGGACGCACATACTGGAGCAAAGCTCTGTGGACACTGAAAGAAACAAACAATGAATCCTGAAAGCTGCATGAGACAGTAACTATGTCACTGTTGTAATCAAGATAATAATTGAGAGCTTAAGCATTGCAGCAGAACAAACAAACCTGATACAGACAAAGACACTCCAGGTGTGATCTGTTGTACCTGCATATTCCTCCAAAAGAACAATTATATTCATCACACACATGAAGGTCACTTTTCTTCTCAGACAGACCTAAAACAAAACACACAGCTGTCAAAGTCATCATGTGCATGTGTGTATGTGTTTGTCCACACAGAGACAGTACAACCTGAAAACCTACATTACAGATACTTATCAGATCAGGACAATAAGGGGAAAGCTTTATCAAAGGATTAATCTCTTTTGATAAGTGTAAACATGCAAAAAGTGTATGAGGGTCAGTCTATGACCATGACGTCTGAATGTCACCACAAAGAAAAGTCTATATATTTTAAACCAGCCTACAATATTGATGGTCTTAGTTAGTGTCTCAAACTGATCAGGCTGGTTTGTTTGGCTGATTGTAGAGGGGCTTTGGGAACCAATTTAATCATAAACAGTTTTTTTTTTTTTTTTTCCAGCAGAGGATTTTTGTAAATTGTAAAATTGAAAAACCTCCAACCTGAATGTTAATCTTCCGAAGGTATGGACAGCACCCAACAAATATTTGTTTCATAATAAAATAATTAATCATTATTACCCTTGTAATAAATAAGTTAAACATTTTACTGAAAAAAAATGCACCAATCATTTCTGGCTTAAAATTTAGCTTTTTCTTTCTTTTTTTTAAGGATATTAAGGTTATTTTTCACTGTGATTTTTCTGGCATTAAGGAGATCAATTATGTATCAAACTTCATTTGCATGATGGGTAAATAAATGTAAACTGATTTTTGTTCACTATTATCATCACTTCAAAAAATGTTCACTAATAAAAAAGCTTTAAAAACTTCAAAAATAAGAACAATTTTTAACAAAAATTGTAACATACATTTTATGTATTTATTATTTATTTTCCTCTGTAGTCCCACATTTGTTTTGTTCCCTAATGTTGTATTTTAGGTAGCCTACTTGAAAATTACATTTAGCAAATAATGATAATAATACAAAAACTCCATGCATTTCCAACAAGGACGGTTCCTAATGATGTAGCCTACTACATTTGACTATTTTAGCATATTTTTTTCTGCAGGAGATTTTCATAAACTGTAAAATATTAAAACCTCTTTACATAAAGAGACTAACTTTTTAAAATAAATTTACTTGTAAAAATGCCAGTGCACGTTTATGTGTTGGATTAGGTAAAGGGATTATATATAGCCTATTTATATTCAGCTCAATTTAAAAACAGTTTAAGTTCATGGAAGATCCGCCCGACCATAAAGACTTGTGTGTATTTCTGTGTTAGCGCACCTTCACATCCTTTGTCATCTTCAGACAAACAGTCGCTATCCGTGTCGGACGTCAGGGCCCCGGGCATCTGCGCGAGGACCAGCAGACCGAACATCGCGAGACAGCATCCAGCACCTGCAGCGCACGAGCCACTGGACATAATGCGGCTCATTGTGAGGATTCCGCGCGACTGGTACGCCAAATGACGCGGAATTGTTTATTCACATGAAAGCTGATGCTGCACTTGCTATGGCTCATTTCTTCTTGTCATCGGTCCAGCTGATAGAAGGGCCAGTGACCCGATACCTTCAGACGCATCACACCAGCTCACGCGCTCCAATTATCCTATAGTGTCGCTCGCGCAGGGACTGTCTCAGTTTCCTTCACTACCTTTCATCTGCGCTAAGATACAAGCAGGCGGACACAGAAACAGAGGGAAGGAGGGGAAACGGAGAGAGATAGCTATAAGATTCCACATCAACAACACGAGATGGACTATGGTCACGTGAAACCTCTATAGAGTAACTAACTATAGCCTAACGATACAGTCAATTTTTCCTGGATATTTTTTTTCTTGCTAATTACTTTGCTTTTGCTTTACTAGTAACAGTATAAATAAATTATACTTAATATAATTTTAATAATTAGGATATATATAGGTCTATATATGTGTAATATTTAATATAAATCATTCAATTTAAATTCTTTTACTTTTTTTTCTCAATATTTAGATATTTTTTGCACCCTCAGATTCCAGATTTTCAAATAGGTCTAGTTGTATCTCGCCAAATACTGTCCTATCCTAACAAACCATACATCAATTGAAAGCTTATTTATTCAGCTTTTAGGTGATGTATAAATCTCAATTTCGAAAAATGGACCCTTACGACTGTTTTTTGTGGTCCAGGGTCACATATTTCAAATGTTGGCTATGGATGCTTGACTAAGATGAATCAGACAACCGCGCGGTCATGTGACTACATCTGAACCAATCAGCTTCCGCCTTCCGACACTTCTCTAAAATCATCAGACTAACCAGACAACGGAGCGTCTGCTTTTTGAAACGGAAAAAGAGGTCTATAATCATATCGAATCGGTAAGTTTAGCGTTTTATTGGTTAATCGCCGTTAGTTCGGGACTGGTAGGGAAGAGATGAGACCGCGCGCTCCTCTCAAACAGAAGACACTCGCTCAGTTTCCGGTTTTATGATGACGTTTCTTTGCACACGGTCGGGTCGAGGCGCTCGTGGTGTTGTGTGCACAATCGCAGTCTATAACGCGGTTACTTTCGAGCGTGGAGCGCGTGTGGACTCCCGGTAAGCAGTGCTGATGTATGATCCGTCCGTTACGCGTGTAAACATACAGTTAGGACGGGAGAAATTCGGTGTGCAGGAAGGTACCAACTAGGCCGCGTGACGCCTGTTGTTCCTCCACATCAGTTCTGATGCGTCTGATAAATTTGCAAAGTATGTAAAGATTTCATAGATTTCAGAATATAAACGAAATTGACTCGTTTCGTACGCAATTCAGTACGAAACGTCATTAACGGTAAAAACGACGTAGCGTTGTGTTGTCGCAGTCAGTGTGTGTAAACAGCTGTGAGTGATGCGCGGCGTGATGGAAGTGCATTAGAACAAAATTCACCTGATTCTGACGGATGCTACTTTATCACAGTCTTACAAATCACAATAATAGAATGTCAGGTGAACACTTTTCAGACGCACGTGAATTCGGTTTTTATGCCGTATTTCACGAATACGGCGTCCCAATACTTTTTTCTTTACAATATTAGTAACAAATGCCATACCTTTCTGTAGACCTTTTTGATGTGATTTTGTAGCTAGTTTTAAATGTATAAGTATTCCATCTCTTCCTTCTGTACAGTATCTAACAGTAAAACTAATTGGGTCTTATGTACAAATAATTGCGTGGATTATTCGTATATATTATACACCGAGAAGTTCTCATGAAATATTAACGCACATTCACAACGTGCATACGCTAGTGAATTTGTTCGTTCTGCATAAAGTTTGTAATTTGCATAAAACATCCTCAAACTATATCCATATATGGGACTTCCGCACAACCTTTCCTACAGCATTCCTTCCTTCCTTTACATACATGAACTAGGCCTATGTATTTAAGATGAAATATCTCTATATAAAATTGAATCCTAACATGCTAATAAAGCCACTCAGAGTATGCGATTTTTGTCTGTGTGATTACAGTCGTTACTATATATTATACATTTTGAATACATTTGGCTGAAAGTTATTGATGAAACATGATTTGTTTGTGTACACACAGTTGTGAATGTGACCCACTATTTTGACAATATACTATGTTTATACTAACTAAATGTAGTTCAAAAACTATTAATTAACTATATATTTTCTTTAATAAATAAAAGGAATGTTTTAATTTTCACACAAATTGTACTGAAAAAATGGAGGCATTAAAAACTAGGTTTTTAAAGCTTTTTTTCTGTTTCAAAATTGCAATGTTGACATTGTGCTATTTCAGCATTGTTATAATAATGGTAATATTTTTATGTTTTAGGATGCCAGTATGATTGGCAGGTGGCCACGCCTCTTTCCAGTGATGTCACTGACATTGCTATGGGCGTGTTCAGTGGGGGCAGGTACAGACTGCAAGTCTATGGCCATTGAGACAGATGTTCAGGTGGCAGAACAGGCACAGCAGCGCCACCTACAGGCTTTGTTTGACAAGTATGGGCAAAACGGGAGTATCTCCTTAGAAGGCCTGTACAACCTACTAAAGGGGGTGGGGCTAGACCGAATCCGAAAAGTGATGGTGCATCACCATAGCAACGGACATAATCACACACATGCGCATGATCACACGCACGCTCATGTGGACAAACTCACCACACACTCACATCCCGCCACCAGCAAGAAGGGGGGTATTGACCATAACGTGGAGAAGAGTGACCCCATCCCAAAAGTGCAGCCTGATCCCACCTCTGGGAAGAAAAGCCAGTCAGATGCTCATCACAATCTCTACATGAAGATGAATCAGGACTTGACCACAACTTTGACTACACCGTCTTACGTCACAAAATCACGGCGGACCAATCGTAGCGCCGTCTATGATTTAACGCAGGACCACGCCTCCTTTAACTCCACCCAGGCCAATGTAACGCAGTCTAACCACACCCACCAGACTGAGGACACACCCACCCATGCGCAAGATGATCATGATCAGCATGGACTTGACCATTCGAGTCTAGCGGTACACAAACAGCTATTTATTTAAATGTTATTTTTATTATGTATTGTAATATATTTGTATTTATTTATTTTTATTTAATCTAATTTTTATTTTTCTATATTACAAAGTTTTTCTCTAAGCTTTTCTACAGACCTTTGCAAATCCCTGACATACTCCACTCACACAAGTTCTGAATTTCTCTTTCAGTGTCTAAATGCCTCCACAATCCTGCAGTCACATGGCATGACAAAGGAAATGGGTCTCTCTGTCAAGGACTTCAGTTACCTGTGCCCTGCCCTTCTCATGCAGATTGATTCCAATTCTTGCCTCTTGCATGACGATGACCATTCAGGTGAGCTTTTGAGGATAGAATTGACATAAAGCTGTGTTTTTGTGACACAATCACAATACTTGATCAGCAGAATCTGTATAACAATTTACTTTTTTCCAGATCATTCCCATCACCACAACCACCACCACCATCATCATCATCACAGTCATCATCTACATAATCACACCAATAACAGAAGCCCGAGGAATGCTTCAGTTAGCATTGGTAAGTATGTGTTACTTAATATCTTTTGAGACTAAGTTTTTGAGCATTTATATTTATGTTAAGTGTCAACTATTTATGCAAATTACATTTTGTATTAAGTTCAGCCAGAGAAAATCATAACTCTGGGAGTCCTATTGGTTTAGTTATTATACATAAATGTGGTCATAAATGCACAGTATGAAAATAAGATGATAATTTATTTTAATTTTTTGATAATCAATGAATGTACAATATTAAAATTCTATACTTTTTGTAGGGTTGGGTATCGTTTGGGTCGTTAGGGGGTCATTTTTAAATAAAAATAAAACAATTCAATAGAACAGAAAAAGAACAGATAATTCTAGTGTTAGAAGGTCATTATTTATAATAAATAAAAAGAAAATAAGTGGAAAGAATAGAGAAAGAATAGAGAATGCTAGTGTTAGAGGCTCTTCTTTTCTTTATAAACAAAACAAGTAGTTAGAATAGAAATAGAATAGAGAGTGCAGATGTTAGAGGGTCAAGTTTTTTAATAAAAAAAACAAGCAGATAAAATTAGAAGTAGCATTAGAATAAAGAGTGCTAGAGTTAGAGGGCCAAATGAAGATCAAAGAGATGTGTTTTCAGCCGTTTCTTGAAAATATTAAGGACTCAGCTGCTTGGATTGAGCTGGGCAGGTCATTCCACCAGGAGGGTGGAATGTAGAACAGTTAATGTAGAAGTCCATGAAAGTTTTATCATAGGTAGAATGCAAAATGTTTCAATACAAGCATTTCAGTCAAATGTAATTTATGCAATATTTCAAACCTTTAACCCACTTGGGAAAAATCAACCCATGGCAACAGTTTAAAAGTAGCCCAATTCTGTGGAAAAACCGCGGACTTGGCAACCCTGCATCCAACAAGAGCTACCGGAGTCAGCTTTGACTGATCACAGGTCGAGAATAAGGAGAGATGACTGACAAGACCATGCTGGAGTATTTGCTGCTCAACAGATTCTGAGCTCATTGACAAATATCTGATCTTGTAAGATGTGCTCCCTTTACACAGAGTGCGTGTGATCGTGAAAGTAAACAGCGCAAACGCTTATTCAAAAATATTTAAATACACCGCATCCTGAGAGCGGCTCCCTGATGTGCCAAAATTATACACAATATTAGAATGTTTAAAGGAGTGGTTACGAAAATCGCAGGAGCGAAACACATGTTGCTGTAGCAGGCGGCAGTGGTCAGAGATTCAGCGGGAGTGGGATTACACATGTTGCGGGAGCAGGCGGCAATGGTCAGAGATTCAGCGGGAGTGGGATTAAGAAAACAGCCGAATCCCGGACATTTTGGGCAATTAAGAAATCCCGGCCGTACGCATTTTTGTAGGTCCAAAAAGAGGACATGTCTGGGGAAAAGAGGACGTATGGTCACCCTAATTTATAATCTATTGCTAATCGATGTATTCTTTTTAAAGTAGCATATGGAACAAATTTTTTTTGCCTCATTCTGTGACAAGAAGCCTCATCAGATCACAAAAGGAAGCATTTGACTGGTGTTGTGGAGTAAAAAGGATATAATGTTCTCTTTTGTTGGACAACAGGTTTAGAAATGTGAATACAAGGGAGTAGGGATGGGTACCGAAACCCGGTATTTAATCGGAGTATCGATAAACTCTGACGTTAACGGTTCTAATGATGGATTGGCCATTAGAATAGAAATAGAATAGAGAGTGCAGATGTTAGAGGGTCAAGTTTTTTAATAAAAAAAACAAGCAGATAAAATTAGAAGTAGCATTAGAATAAAGAGTGCTAGAGTTAGAGGGCCAAATGAAGATCAAAGAGATGTGTTTTCAGCCGTTTCTTGAAAATATTAAGGACTCAGCTGCTTGGATTGAGCTGGGCAGGTCATTCCACCAGGAGGGAACAGTTAATGTAGAAGTCCATGAAAGTTTTATCATAGGTAGAATGCAAAATGTTTCAATACAAGCATTTCAGTCAAATGTAATTTATGCAATATTTCAAACCTTTAACCCACTTGGGAAAATCAACC